CACGGGCCTTGCTTTGGAGCGGGGGGGGAGAGCCACGGGGGGGAAGCCGGTGAGGCCCGGCGGCTGCAATCCGTGGGCCTCGCTTTGGAGTTGGGGGGGGAGAGCCACGGGGGGGAAGCCGGCGAGGCCGGCGGCTTGCTCGAGCCAGGGGGGTGGAGGAGACGGGGGAACCGGCGGGATGGAGGGGAGCTTACCGCCTCCTGCTGCTTCCTCCTCTGATTACTGTGGAGCTCCCTCCCCCTTCTCCCTTCTCCCCCCCCACGAGTATCGCGGGTCCCACCCCTTGTGCTTATCTAATTCCCTTTTGAAGCTGTCCATGCTTGTAGCCGCCACCACTTCCTGTGGCAGTGAATTCCATGTGTTATCTTAAAGGTGCACGGGAACTCAAACTTTGTTCTGCAGCATAACAGTTTCTGTACCAGAATAATTCATAAACCTGCGTATGGCGGGAAATAATAACGGCTGAGGTTCACTCATGTTCTAATGCTGAGTTAAGCATAGCCAAGTCTACCCTAGCAGAATGCCACAGGAAGTGGCTTTGCCCAGCTAACCTGGGGGGGGGGGGGGGGGGGGTTAGATAAATTAAGCTGGGAAGAACTGAAAGCATGCTTGGCCACAATGTGCCTAAGGTCAAGCAGGAAACAAAGGCCAATATTTAAAGTGGTGAATAGCTCTGAAGGGAGGTGTGTGAGCAAGGCAACACTGCAGACACATCCCGCAACCTCTCAAAGCTGCATCAAGCTGGAGCCCAGCCTGGCATGTCAGGAAAGTGGCACCGCGGACGTTGATGTATTTTGGTCACTTTATTAAATGAGATATTAAATAGCTTTAAGTTTCAACTACTAAACAGCACTTTGAATGGTGAAAACACAGAAAGCATATTGTCATACTTGAATGCTTCTCTTTAAAAACACACCTCCAGTCCGTAATATATATTTTACAAAACAGCCTTATAGGAAGTTACATCTCTTCTACGGTACTTTTATGATATTTAATACATAACTGAAAAAGCCGTCTAACAGAAACAAAGGCCAAGTCTTCACAGCTGTATGATTTCAGCAGCCATAAGCTGGTCAATGGACTGAAACATTACTATACAACTGGGACAAAAACATGTACAGTATCACGATACTAAGCAAAAACGCTTTACATCCAAAGAAAGAAACAAGTTACAAAATGTGGAGATTTTAGCAGGCAAAACTGTTATTACAAGCAACATTTTATTATCTTATATAAGCCATTTCAACTAGTTTAAAACATCTAAAACAAATATAAAAATGAGCTTATTGATTTCAATTTCTGTCTTTAAATATTGGTTAAAGCTTGATGTTATACTCAAAAGCACATATTATGCAGCTATAATGGCGAGTGAAAAATATATATGCAAAAGTGGTCCAAGTTTTTACTACTTCTTGTCTCTGAGACGCTGTTACATATGCTGTCTTTTTTTTGTCGTCCGTGGTGAAAAATGTGCCTTCAAAGAGTTGCCTAAAACTTCCACATTTATGTCTCTCAAGTTGTTGTAAAAATGCCACTTGAAAACTTCCAGGTCTAACTGATAAGTGTAGGTATTACTCAGAGAACACAGGAACGCTGTGGACAGCCACATTTGTCTCCAAGCATTTGCCTTAATTCCTTCTGAAGCAAAGGCAGCTTTTGGGGCTTTCCTCTCCCCATCCCATTAAAGGAATGGCCTGGATCACACTGCTGGGCAGAGTAGGCAGGCAGGGTCCCCCCCCCTTCCCTCATCTCATCACAGGAAGAGCCCCCGCCTCCCTCATAGTTAGCAGGCCTGGATGCTGAGCGACTCATCTAGCCAGGACAAGACTAGGCACCAGCTCAAGAATTATTTAAGACCTCCACAACCTTGCCCCACCCATCAGCACTCTGGCTCCTTTCAGTGAAGCTAAGAGACAACCCCCTCCGTCCAGCCTCCTTGGGTTCTCTCGGTTCCCACCCTGTCACTGTACTCCTACGACGCATGTGTGCCCCTGTCATTTAACTTTATGCCCACATTAAAACAAACAAACAAAAAAAGAATTGTCCATTTGGGAAATATAAACTAGCCTAATGCAAGAAAAATCCCTCGTGTTGCCAACTTGGATCTTCGTAAGCACAGCAAATGGATGACAATCCCATTTTAATGTTGTACAGTAGCTGTTAAGGAAGCATAATTCGTCGAACATTTCTTCTCTACAGATGAAGAAAAAAGAAAAGACATCAAGTTTTCTTGATTTCTTATTCTGAAAAGAACGAAAAAAGGATGGAAAAAGCACGGTAACCAGAGATAATTATTTATAAAAGAAGGGATTATTTCACAATTCTGGCAGCATCGCAAACACCTTCCTTTGGGAGTTGAGAAAGCATTTCAAAGCTTTTTGACAGTGGGCCTCATCCTATTCACTGCCACCATCTTTGCACCCACTGCCAGTACCAGAAATTCCTTTCTTTTAGCCCCCCATCCTACTGCCAGCAACAGGATGAGATGCTAGCACCAGTATAAAGGAGTTAACACAAATGTGCTTCGCATCAGAATCGGCACAGGACAAAATAGATGAGTAAGGGACCCAACCTGCAAGTGTTAAAAGTTCTTGGAGATTATTCCATCACAAAAGATGAAATAAGAAGTGGCAGAAGGCTGGAGAAGAAAACGTCACCCTCTCAAGCCAGGACTTAAGGCTGCAGACACAGTTTCCGGAAAACTGCAGGGCCCAAACCTTTCAGAGCCGTATTTAAGCATATTGCACTCAGATCACTCTCAAGAGCGTTTGCAGTCCCTGCGTTCTGTTCTTCCAATGCAGATGATAGAATAGAATAAACACCAGTGTCAATTCTGTCTCACTTATTCCTTCAAAAAGTGGGATATATTTTTTAAAAATCCATAATTTGAGGAATCAACTTTAACCAAGAACTCAGCTGTGTACATATGTGTGTGACTACCAAAATATACAGATCTGTGTAACTTCCCTAAGCTTCTCCTGTTTGACGGCCGCTTTAATGGATACTAACAGCAAGCATAGGAGTTTAGACAGGAAATCTGTGCAGCCCCTAGTGTTATGGAAGGACCTGTTTTCATTGAAAACAACTGGATATCTCCTGTACTCAACACACGTAAGAAGATTCTAGGCAACACTGCTGGCGAGTATTGGGGGAAACTTCCAGACTTACCAAAATAAAATGGAAAACACTAAAACAGAAGGTTGTAACTAAAGGGTGGGGAGGGAAATCATTCAAACTATTTATACAGTTGAGTTCTGTTAAGCCATTGATTCCTAAAAAAATAAAAAAAACCCCTTCTCTCTCTTTCCTTCTCTCTGATTTTAACAATCCTTTGAACGCTTAGTGCAAAATCACATTGATTTCCCTTGGGACGGTCCTGGCGTTTTGCCACTCATGGGGGAAGGCGCTCGCTGGAGAGGGGGCGGGTGCATTGTGCCGGCCATGGACTGGTACATTCCTCTCATATCTATCTGCTGGAAGCCGGAAGGGTTCATCACTAAGCCCGGCGGTTTTGGCATCATCAGATGACTCATGGCTGCTTGCTGGAAAGTCAACTGCTGCTGCTGCTGCTGATTGTACTGCTGGAGTCTTCTGGTCATCAGAATCCGCTGAACGCAACTGATCAACTGTGGAGGGAAAGGAGAGCTGTCAGAAGGGCTGCTCTAAACTTGAGACTTGCTGTGCTGCTATCACCATCACTAATGTGGTGGCATTTGCGAGCTGGCGACTGGAGAAACCCGTTAGCAATGCCATTTCGGACCACAGGATCCCAATGACTTGCCCATTGTGCTGCAGGCAACATTTATCTCGGTTGCCATGGGGACAGGCACTCTACTGTGAAATTGCTCCCGCAGATCAGTTACAGCATTTTCTCCTCCAGTGCCATTTGCCACCCCTTTGGAAATCCTGATGTGAACAGCCAAACAAGCATTTTGTGGCAAACACCAAAGAAGAAAGCACTTCCTTTCCCCTCTTCACAGAATGCCTCCTTAGATGGTCTCAGGTTTCGCAATATAACATGAGACCCAGGGAACCCTGCAACCCTCCAACTAATGTGCATGTTAAGAGAAGCTAAGTCCTTGGTGCCAGGAGGTGGAAGCTTCCAGGACAACCTCTTTGGCTGGTGAGGAAAAGAGATGGAAAAGGACACCAAGAAGGTCGGGCAGGTGACTGCTCCAGCTCCACCTTATTTCATGTTATTTACGAATAGGCTAATCTATCTGCAAAGGAACAGAAGATTTGTCTCACTTACCGTGAATCTTCCTTCTCAGTGGTCCAGGGGTGGGGCAGGCACTGCTTCTGGGAGAAGCTCCTCCCTACAGACGAGCAGGATCGCCGAGCAGCATGCCCTCTCCATTCCAGGAACTGCCTCAAATTTGTTTACACTGGGGTGGGAGAGACTGCCCCATCCCTGGGCCTCTGAGAGGGAAAATTCATAGTGAGACAAATCTTCCATTCTCCAGGGGTCTGGGGTGGGGCAGTCTCTACTTCTGGGACACAGAAAAGCAGTGTGCCCCAGGGAGGGTAGAGAGATTCAGATCCTAGACCAAGAGGTCATGCTGAAAGCAAGCCTCCGTAGAGACCAGCTTATCAACCCTATACAGCCTGGTGAAAGAGTGGACGAGCCCTCCGAGTGGCACCCTCACATATGACCTCTAGGGAAGGAAAGGACCCGTAAACTGCCGAGGTCGCCGCCCCACTAACGGAGTGTGCTGCAATGTCCGAAGGAGAACCTATACCTATGGACTTATAGGCAAGGAGAGTGCAGCCTCTAACACACTGACTAATGGTGGATGTAGAGACTCTGCACCCTCAGGAAGCCTTCCTGAAAGGAATAAACAAAGACTCCATCTTACGTAAAGGCTTAGTCCTCTCAGCATAGAAACTCAAGGCCCTCCTTTCCCACTGCTGAAGTTAAATTTCTTCATCAAAATTCTGCATCCGTTTCACCATGCATGTCTTAACTTGTTCCGTTGCTGTACCATACTGAAGTAGAAGTTTATAAATGTGACCTAAAAAGTGTTATTTTTTATTCATTATTATGTTTTCCAATTCCATCAAGTCCCTTAGTTTATCTCTTTCTGCATGCATTGCTTCTTTAAGCCATGAGGTAAGTTGAAGATAAGTTAGCCATTGTATCTTTTTCCCTTCTTCATTCATTGTCTGCCAGGATTTAATTTTGCCTTGAGAATTGATCACATCTTGGTATTTGATAAAATCAGAGTTTTTTTCTTGTAGGCTGGTCATAAGATGCATCTATTGGTGACATTACAGGTGAAATTGATGGGCTAATTCTTGTTTTCATAGACTGCCAAATTTTCAAGAGGCTATCTATAATTACATGGCCCTTCGTTGCCTTTTTTGGTGATTTTCCTGTTTGTTTTATCCAGAGGTAACTATGTAGTCCTTCAGTCAAATCCACTGTTTCCAATTTCATCAATCTGTTATTCGGATTTTTAAGCCAACTGGAAATCCACACCAGGCCGACTGCTTGATAATGCAGCTTAAAATTAGGCACAGTGAGGCCTCCACTTCCCCCCCATCCTGCAGCACTTTGTATCTGACTCTTGGTTTTTTGCCATTCCAGATAAATGTATTAATTTGTTTTTGCCAGTCTTTCAGCATCTTGTCAGGTATATCAATTGGGAGCATCTGAAATAGAAAGTCATTTTTACTGTAGAAATTTTTCCAAGCCGAGTTTTAATTTAGATAATCTTTCCAGGTCTTTTTTGTACTTTCTTCCAAACACTATCATGGTTATCTTGAAATAATGTTATCTTTTTTCTCACATTTCCCCCCAGGTATTTTATTGCATAAGTTACCAAACCACATCCAGTAATTGTCTTGATATTGTCTTCTTCTTGCTTCGTTAAGAATTTGGGGATTATTTTAGTTTTCTGTTTATTTTAAATCTTGAAGAGGACCCAAACTTCTCCACATGCTCCATAACATGTTCTATAGAGTTAACATTAATATCCATATTGTCAACACCACATCATCCACGTAACAAACCTGCCTGGAGTTATTGTAATCCCTGTTAGTGGAACATTTCCTTGAGGCTATCGTATCCTGTTTCTTTGAGTTGCACCCGCTGAACCTCAAAGCTGTCAATTTTAACAACTTGGGCTGGGAGTAAACTAAGGATCCCTGTTGAAGTAGGTCCCTTTTGGATGGAAGACACCAGGGCTTCATGATGGACAACCTCAGTAGGTCCTGGAACCATTATCTCCTTGGCTAGCACTACGTCCACCTGCGAGACTTTGAATCATCCTGTGGATTAACTGCATGGGAGGAAAGGCACACAGGAGCTGATTTGGCCTTTCGTAGTTTAGAGCATCCACTCTTATGGCTGGCAGGGACCTTGTCCTTGAGATGAACAGTGGAACTGGCCTATTTTGTTCCGTCGCAAATAGGTCCACTTCTATCTGGCCAAACTTGTGGCATATCTGCAGGAAGGTTGCTTTGTTCAGCATCCACTCTGCTTCATTCAAGTCTCTCTGACTGAGCCAGTCTGCCAGAGTGTTGTTCTGTCCTTCTACATGAACAGCCTTGATTGACCTTAGATGGATCTCTGTGTGTAATGTCTTTGATTTGGCTCCCCCCCCCTCGATGATTGACATAGGACTTGGCTGTCGTGTTCTCCATTTGAACTAAGACATGCTGCCCTGCTAGGAGATCCTGAAAAGATAACAGTCCTAGTCTTATTGCTCTGAGCTCCAGAATGTTGATGATTTGTGATGACTCTTCCCAAGACCAGGTGCCCTGAGCCATTCTTCCCTGTGAATGCCTCCCCCCAAGCCAGGGAGGCTGGCATCCGATGTCATCATTGTCCTCATTGGTTCCTGCAACTAAGTCCCCTCCGCAAACCAGAAAGATACTGTCCACTATTTTAATTCCTGAATCAGGGAACCAGGAAGCTGAACTAGCCTGAACTGTTTGTTGGCTATGACATTCTGAAGGGGAAGGAGAAATCTTTGCAGCGGGCGAGCATGAAATCTAGACCATGGGATGATATTCTGACAGGATATCATCATCCCTAGAAGTCTCGCCAGAAACATCACCTCTACTTGTGGCCGACTTGTGAGCTCCTGTACTGACAAAAGTATCTTCTCCTGCCTTTCTTGTGATAACAAAACTGTTCTGAGCTGTGCTTGTTACGACCCCAAAGTGGAGCACCCTCTGAGATGTGGTCAAGCTGTTTTTCTCCCAATTGATTATGAATTCATGATCTTAGAGGCATAACGCAGTCCGACATACATCCTCCAGCCCCTGCTGGTGGGGTGGGGGCCTGATTAAAATGTCATTCAACTATGGGAAGAGGGACACACCCTGTATTCTCAGGCATGCTATTAGTGAAACCAATACTTTGGTGAACACTCTTGATGCTGTTCTGAGCCCAAATCGGAGATTCCTGTACTGGAAATGAAGTCCATTTGTATTAAAAATGCAGGAACCTCTGATGGGAGACTCAAATCGGAATATGCAAATAAGCCTCTGACAGATCTGCTGATGCCATAAAGTCTCCTTTCTGGATGGATGACACTATGGATTTGAGGGTTTCCATTCTGAACTTTTTCTCTTCTTACTCTCGTGTTCAGCCATTTGAGGTCTAAAATGGCCCTCACATCCCCATTCTTTTTTGGGACTATGAATAAAACTGAATAAATGTCCAAGGTCTTTTGGGCCTCTGGTACAGGCTCTATGGCCCCGATGTCCAACAAGTGTTGGATGGCCTTGAGGAGAAGAGGATGTTTCTGTGGACAGTGATTTCTCGGGAGCTGAATGAACCTGCTGGGAAGTAATGTGCATAACTCCAGGGAATAGCCATTTCCTACAGTATCTGTGGCCCACCTGTTGCCCACTGAGGCCTCCCACTGAGCTGCAAAATGTTGAAGATGACCTCCTGTTTTTGGTGAGTCTGAGTCCCTGTGATAGTCATGCTAAAGAGGACTTTTTGGGTTCTGTCCTGATGTTCCGGTGAAGGATGAACTACTACTACCTGTTTAGGCTGCTATCTCCCTTTTGTTGGTTTGGGTGGTCAAAAACCAGAGGCGTGCTTGGATTCACAAAAGGAAGGGAAACATTTCTTAGGTTTACTGTCTTTCTTCCAGGAAGGTAGCGACTTCTTGTCCTTATCCTCCACCATGCATCCATTCATGCCTTGGCTGGAGAGATGTACTCCTCAGAATGGTATGCTAGCCACTCTCGCTTGGGACAAAGGGTCCACTTCCCAACTGCGAAGCCAAGTGTTTCTTTTGCCTGTTACATTTGAGGCTGTAGCCCTGACTGACAGTTGGACTGCATCAAGTGAAGTGTGTGCTGAAGAAGAGAAAAAGAAGAAGAGGTTGGATTTATACCCCGTCCTTCACTACCCAAAGGTGTCTCAGAGCGGCTCACAAACACCTCTCCCTTCCCCTCTCCACAACAGACACCCTGTGAGGTAGGTGGGGCTGAGAGAGCTCTGAGAGAAACTGCTCTTTTTCAAGGACAGCTCTTGTCAGAACTACGGCTTGCCCAAGGTCACCCAGCCAGGTGCAAGTGGAGGAGTGGGGAATCAGACCCGGTTCTCCCAGATTAGAGTCCGCGCACTTAAACCACGACAGCAAACTGGCTACACCAAACTGGCTACACCAAAAAGCCGCTGTGAGTGCAATCTTCTTTCGCTCATCCTTTAGTTCCTTGGATATACTGCTATCCGCTGCTGATAGGTCTGAAGCTGAAGAATAGAAGAGAACTTGCTGTGGAAGCTCTGGGGGAGGTTGCAGACACGTCACAGGTTTTTTTGCAAGGCCTGTTCATAAGAACATAAGAACATAAGAGATGCCAATGTTGGATCAGGCCAAAGGCCCATCCAGTCCAACACTCTGTATCACACAGTGGCCAGAAATACCAGTGCCATCAGGAGGTCCACCAGTGGGGCCAGGACATTAGAAGCCATCCCACTGTTGACCCCCCCCCCCAAGCACCAAGATGACAGAGCATCACTTGCCCCAGAGTCCCTATCTATACCTTGTGGCTAATAGCCACTGATGGACCTCTGCTCCATATGCTTATCTAATTCCTTTTTGAAGCCGTCCATGCTTGTAGTCGCCACCACTTCCTGTGGCAGTGAATTCCAAGTGTTAATCACTCTTTGGGTGAAGAAGTACTTCCTTTTATCTGTTCTATCTGTTCAATCCTTCTGTTGCTGGGATCCCTTGGTAGACTGTCCGCTTCTGCAGGTAAGACCAAGTTGGAACACGGACTAGCTACTGGGTCATCCACCAATGGCTGTCTGAATCGCTCCGCTGCATCTGGCACCAGTGTGAAGAACCTGGAGATGATGGGCTGGTTTGACTTAGGTCTGGCTGGTGACTCCCATTTGGTCTGGACCACCTTATCGAACACAGCTGGAAAGGAATTCCAAGAGGAACTGAACCCATTTTAGGGAAGGCTCTAATGGACCCAGCTGGCTTAATCAGGTTGGGAGTTTCCACCTCTTTGTTGTTAAGAGGGATTTCCAGAATGAGCATCACTTTCGGAAGGATCTTGTAGAAGACTTCCTGTGGAAAAAGATGTGTCTGCATCGTGGTGATTATAGGTTCTTCCTCATCCAACAGTTCACCCTCCTCTTTTGGTGAGGAGGACTCTGAGCAGTCTGATTCCTCGTAACTGTGGCCCAAAGGAGGACTTGTTTCTCTGCTATGCCTGGTAGTGGAACCTAATCTCCTTCTTTTGGGTTGGGGGGGAAGATAGGAATATTCTATCCACCTCCCTCCTACAGGAGGCTGTGCTAGAGGAAGAGTGGTGTGCATACCTATTTGGAGCCTATGAGGGGTCCCTGTAGTTTGGAAGGGCCTGAGAAATGGCTTCTCTGATTAGAAGAAGAGAAAAGAAGAGACTGGATTTATACCCTGCCCTTCACTACCCAAAGGAGTCTCAGAGCGGCTCACAAACTCCTTTCCCTTCCCCTCCCCACAACAGACACCCTCTGTGAGGTAGGTGGGGCTGAGAGAGCTCTGTCAGAAACTGCTCTTTTTTCAAGAACAGCTCTTATCAGAGCTACGGCTTGCCCAAGGTCATCCAGCCAGGTGGAAGTGGAGGAGTGAGGAGTCAAACCCAGCTCTCCCAGATTAGAGTCCGCACACTTAACCACGACACTAAACTGGTGTAGTTCTTGCATTTCCCCTTTGATCCAGGCCTAAGAGGTTAGCCTGGGCGTTGTTTCCTGCTAGATCCAGGGTTGGGGTTCCTTCCTTGTCAGACCCTTGCTGAGAGCCATGCATGGAGGCCTGAGACGGGGAGGGGGACAGTTTAAGACTAGAGGCTATGCTATCTTGGAGCATAGCCTCAGAAACTGTCATTTCACACCTTTTTTGATTTTTTGGGGAAAAAGAAAGAGAAAGGGGGGAAAAACCCACCTGGGTTTTGCTTAGGGCCCCTTCTTAGTGGGATTCAGAAGGTCGGTGACAGCTGGTGGTACAGCTCAGCCAAAAGGCTTGCTGTGGTCCTCCTGTCCTGAGAAGCCTCTTGGGGCTGTGCGGAGAATCTGAGCACTCCACTATGGCAGCCATTGATGCTCCAAATGAGGGAAAAACTGGAGAAGCTCCTAGCCCTGAAGCTGGGAGATCCTGGGACAAGGGGGAGGGGGGATATGGACCGCGCTGCTGTTAAGGACTCCCGGCTCCTTCTGCTGGCCGGAAGAAGGGGGCGGGTGGGGGGGAGACAGGAGACGAACACTAAGTCCTTCCCACTTCCTAGTTGAGCTCCCCAAAGAGAAAAGAGAGAAAGACAGCCAACGATCAAACAAAGAACAAACACTAGCAAAGATTGGAAAAGGTAAGTAGGAATCGCTGTGCTCAACAGAGCATGGCCAACGACGTCCTGCTGCCTTGAGGCAGGGCCAAAGACTGGGTTCTAGGTGAGAAGCCCCTCCCTTTCCAGGAGTCACAGAGGGAGCATGAGATTTCTTTTAAGAACTCATACTGAAGAACTAAAGGTTAGATGGACCTATATGCATACATGCTTATCCCCCCCCAACCCATATGACAATTTCAAATTACAGATCAAGATAACACAGAGAATGACACACAGATCCATGTTTTCCCCTCATTCTTAATAGTAGTAGTAGCTGGAGTAGAAGTAATAGTAGTAAATTTTTTATTTGCGTGTAGCCAAAGGCCATTACAAAATTGGTCTAAGTAAACCATTAAGTAAAACACAGCAAGAATAAAAACAAGCATAAAGATAAGATGCCACACAATTTAAAGAGATGGCAAAAGTACAGATTTTAAGTTTCAGGCACCACTTTTGCATGGACCAATCTTTTCAGACCTTTGGGGGCCTTTTGGGGAGAGGCTGGAGCAGCCACGGTCCAAATTTGGAGCCTCTACCTCAAACCCCCTTCCCCCTCAGCCCCCTGCAAACTTTCCAGAGGATTTTTGCCATTGACTTCAATGGCCCCATTCGATATAATGGACCCGAATTTTTCGGGAATCCCAAAATTTTTCGGATATCTATGCTTTACAGGTATAGATATTTGGGTTTTTTCGGGAATCCCGAAAAAATTTGGGTCCAATAAATCCGAATCCTACCGAATTTTTTTTTTGCACACCCCTAGTTGAAACACCCACAGCTCCCATCATGCTCTGGGGCAGCTGAGACCTTTCAAGCATGAAATGCAAATCTTAGGCCAGGCTTCAACAAAGCAGGCGGGCCCAAGCGATCGCCTTTCCTCTACCCCACAAACAATAAGCGACTATTACCATTGGTAAGACTGCTGGAAATAATACAAGGGGAGGATGTCCAGTGCTCGGAAAAGGCACTCTGCAAGCACAACAGTGTTCTCCTCAAATGTACCCTTAACATATCCTCGTGGGGCCCAACTGAGAGATGCTTGAGATTCTTACCATCTGTTGCTTGGTCAGGACATCGTTGTAGATGGCTTCCCGGCGCTTCACATCGAACTCCTGGCTTGCCTGTCGGCTGAGGGCTAAGGACTGCACCTGAGTCTCCGTGAGGGTGAGGTTTTCCTTCCACTGCAAAGAAGAACATCACAAAGGTTCCTGAGTCTCCTAGGGGTTCAGTTTGCTTCAGCACACTTCAAGAGAAACCAGCAACTGAGCTGTAAGCATCCCATGGCAATGCCCCAAGAGATCCCCTCTGGCCTTGCTCTGTCCAGACACTGATCACACAGGTTCAGCCTCTGCGAACAGACACTGGTCCTTCCTGGCTCCTGGTTCCAGTGTTCCCTCTAAGCTGAGTTGGTGTGAGCTAGCTCACCGTTCTCTAGCCTCTGGCTCACATATTTTTGTCTTGGCTCAGGAAGGTTGGCTCCAGAGTAAACTAATTTTTGCAGCGGCCAAATCGCTCGCTCACAACTTTAATGCCAGCAGCTCACAAAGCAGAATTTTTGCTCACAAGACTCCATGGCTTAGAGAGAGCTTTGGTTCCAGTGGCTCAAATACAAACAAGGTTTGTCAATTCAATCTAATTTATTGCGGCAGGAGCCAGTAAAACAGTACAATTCTGATACAAAAGGGATTAAAACAGTAATAACATGGGAATAATATAAAAGCATTAACAGGAGAGAGTTAATAACATTAGTAAAGTAAAACAGTGTTAATAAAAGAATCATACAATTTTTTCAGCTAAAATAAGTTTACGTTTCCTAATAGCTAAGCAACAAAATTTTGCCACAGCGTAAGTCACTGAGCTCTGAATGTCTTCTAAGAGGAATTTACGAAGGACTTCTGGCCTAAAATCAAGATAAGACTGCAAAGGGCTAAATCTAGATGGAAGGGGTAGCATAAGATGGTCTCGTTCGTTCTGATAGAATCTGCAGAACAGGAGGACATGAGTAATTGATTCCACCATATTAGCCATGCATGGGCATATACGTTCATGCATTGGGACTCGAGTGAATTTACCTTGCAGTACAGCGGAAGGGAGTGCCTCAAAACGGGCTCTGGAAAAAGCCCATCTATAGGGTTCATAGGTAATGTTAACTAAATAAGGGGCAACAGTAAAATTTCGTAGATCTCTATTTGGCATTCCTAGAAGTACCTCTAATGTAACACTTAGGCAAGAGGCTGGGCTACTCAGAGTTGAAACAAAGGTCTGGGAGCAGGCTATAATACTCTGGCTAAAAATTCATTACAACCCAAAGGGTTTAGCCTCGGATCCTTACCCTACCTGATCAACACAAATTCTCCCCCCTCGTTTATTTTCCATATTTTCCACAAGAATACAAACATTTCATTTTCGTAGATTACATAGATTTTTAGAGTTATTAAATCAAATTACATTTCTTATACAAATTATTAACTATTTACTTGTTTATTAAACCGTTACATGTTCTATCCAATTATATACCCTTAACCTTCCTTTATTCTGTAATTTGTGGTCTTTACCTTAAAGTAATAAACTCAAGTTATCCAATTGTGCTAGCTCTAAGAGTTTTGATATTGTCCTCTTTTGAGGGTATTTTATCTGTCTTCCAGTTTTTGGCCACTAATATTCGTGCAGCTGTTGTAATATATACTAGTAAATATATATATTGCTTTGCATAACCTTTTGGGACCATATTCAGTAAATAGATTTCAGGCGTTCTAGGTTCAATATTTCTAAAATAATTTTATGTACCATTTTCCAGTATTTTTGTATTTTACTGCATTTCCACTACATATGATAAAAGGTTCCCACATTCGATTTACATTATCAACATCTGTTAGACGTTTGGGGATAACACTTTGCAATTTTATCTGGGGACCAATACCACCTGTGAAACATTTTATAAATGTTTTCTTTAAAGGAAATAGCTCTCATGAATTTAATGGGATTTCCATATTGTGTCCCATTGCTCAATTTCCATATCTTTTCCCATATCCTGCATCCACAAAATCATAGTAGTTTTAATGTTTTTGTCTAGCTCATAGTCGTCTAATAAGAACCTATACAGCTTCTGAATTAGTTTGTCACTGGATGATAACCAGGTCTTGTCCAGTTGATTATTCCTATCCTCAAATCCCCTTAGTTTATCTTTGCCATATCTATCTTGTACAAGGGTTCGCTCCCACCATGATAAATTAATTTGATGTTCACACCTCAATTTCTCTTCTGTTTTTAAAATATCGTTTCTTTGTAGTACTATATTATAATTAACTATTTTATTTGTTGACAAAAGTAAAGGCTTTACAGAAGCTTCCAACGGCAATACCCATCTTGTTATGTTTCTATAAAACCTCTCTTTTATATCGTTCCAAACTTTACTTAGGGCTCCTTTTAATACATGGTGGTTAAAAATTGAGTGTATTTTTTCTTTTTCATACCATACGTACAAGTGCCAACCCATATAAAGATCATGACCTTCTAAGGTCAATGTTCTGGTATCTTCCAACAATATCCACTCTTTTATCCAAGTTAGAGCAGCTGCCTGATAGTATAATGTCCAATTTGGTACATTCATCACTCCTTTTTCCTTTCTGTCTTGTAGAACTTTCCATTTAATTCTTGCTCATTTAGGATGCCAGATGAACATTCTGGTAATCCTATCTAATTCTGTAAAGAATTTAAAGCTCTTTAACATGGGAATGTTTTGGGCTAAAAATAGAAATCTTGGAAGTATATTCATTTTTATCGTCGCGATTTTGCCCATCAAAAATAATGGTATATCTTTCCATCTCAAAAAATCATTTTTAATATTTTCTAGTAACTTGTAGTAGTTATCATCTATTAAAGAGCTAGATTTATTGGTTATATAAACTTCCAAATATTTCACTTTTTTCACTATCTCCATAGATGTCAGATTTTGAATTTCCTGCACAGTACCAAGTTGACAGTTTTTTGTTAACAGTTTTGTTTTCTTAAAATTTATCTTAAGGCCAGCTACTAGGCCATATGCTTTAATTGCTTCCATCAAAAAATTAATGGATTTTTTTGGATTCTCCACTATGAATAATAGGTCATCCGCAAATGCCAGAAGTTTGAATTCCTCCCCTCTTATTTTTAAGCCATTTATCTGTTCATTGCTTCTAATTGAATTGTTTAGCGATTCTAATACGAAAATAAATAATAATGTGGATAGTGGGCAACCCTGTCTTGAGCCTTTTTGTATTTCTATATTCTTTGTTAAATCTCCATTTACTAGAACTTTCGCATATTGTGTTGAATATATATTGCCTTTATCATAGACCAAAAGTAATTTCCACAATCCGCTGTATTTAATTTTTGTAGCAGAAAATTCCAGGATAAGTTGTCAAATGCTTTTTCAGCGTCGAGGAACATCAGTACAACTTCTTTTTCAGGATGTGATTCATAGTACTCTAATACATCAATTACTATACGCAGATTGTTCTTTATTTGTCTCTTCAGCAAAAATCCCATCTGATCCTGATGTATTATATGCGATAGAACCCTTTTCAACCTATGCACTAATATGCTGGCAAATATTTTATAGTCTGAATCTAAAAGATATATAGGTCTATAATTTTTTATTTCACATCCTTCCGAATTTGGCTTTGGTATTAACATAATTAGAGCATGATTCCAAGAATCTGGTATCTTTTCTGATTTTCCTATTTTTTGAAATAAGATTTTTACGGTATATCTAACTGTTCCTGAAATATCTGATAGAATTCTACCGGAATACCAACGGGACCCGGTGTTTTCTTCTTTTTCTGCCTCTTGACCGCTTCTACAATCTCACACATTGTAATTGAAGATCTTTTTATGCTGATCATTAAATTTACTATAGTTCCTTTTTTCTAAATACTCTTTAATTTGTTTTTCATCCTGTGGTACTTGATGGTATAGTTCATTATAATACCATTCCACTATACTTTTAAGTTCTTGTATATTACATTTTTCTTCCCCTTTTTCATTTTTTAGTTTTAGAATAGTACGTTTTTCTCTTTCTTTGCGAAGCTTAGAAGCTAACCATCTATTAGGTTTATTTATGTTTTCAAAATAGTATTGTTTGGTAAATTCAATTTTTCTAGCTATTTCATTATTCAAGAGTATATTCAGGTTGTGGAGAAGGAGGTGCAATTTAAGTTTATGATCTGTAGGATTTATAGCATTTTTCATTTTGAGTTCTTCCGTTTTTATTATGTATGTAATATTGTTTTACTGTTTTAAATTTTTTAATTCGGCATTGCCGCTTGTTAGCCGCCCCGAGCCGCTGGGTAGGGCGGGATATAAATCCCAAAATAAATAAATAAATAAAATTTGATATTTCTTTTTATCTTGCTTATTTTTCCAAGCATTCTGGTTGATAAACCAACCTCTAATAAAGGCTTTAAATGCATCCCAGACTATTTCCATTTTTACCTCGGGTTGGATATTTCTTTTGAAGAAGTCCAAAATCTCTTCTTTAGTTCTCTTAACAAATATCAGGTCTCATAGGAGACCTAAGTTCATGGTCCATCTGTTTTTCTTTTGCTCATCCCTTAAAGTTAGCATAGGCCCCGGTCACACGGGCAGGAAACTGCAGAGGAGAAGCGTGGCTGTTTGCCCTGGGGCAAACTACTGCACAGTTACGCGATCAGACCAACTGTGGAGGTTCTGTGGAGGTACCGTGGAGGTTCCATGGCAAGGGAGAGGTGCCGATCACAGGACAAGCCGGCGCGCAATGAAGAAGCGCGCGCCGCGGCAAACTGTTTTTTATTTTTGTGTACATGACAAATGCGCATGCTCCGTTGGGTGCGCATGCGCATCCACAGAGACTTGGACAAAAAAACCCCACCTTATTTGCAAGGGGACATGGGCGGGCGCCAGATGCCACCGGAAATGCGATCAGATGCCCGCTCTTGCCCCGCAGTTTCCGGAAACTAGTACCTCCAAGGTACTAGTTTTTTGCCACGCAGTTTCGGCTGGAAGCCTCGGTTGAGCCACGGGAGTGCTACGCTTCCCAGATGTGCTGGTGAGATCGCGCCCGGAAACTCCGCCTGTTTTCCGTCTCACTTGTGTGGCTTCTGTTACGTGTGACCGCAGCCATAATAGGGCTATGGATCCACAAATGTATTCGGCAGGATTTCAC